AAGTACCAGTATAGGAGATGTAAACAGGGAAACCAAGATACCAGATGAACAACGATGCCACAGGAGAACCTGATCATGAGAGAGGATTTAGAGTAATGATAAGAACCTTAAGCCATAAAATAATGTGTTTTTGCTCGTAATGCTAATAGCAATGGGTTCATAAGCAAAGGAGTGTTATTAAGAAGACCAGAGGTCATCCTAAACTGTATCCTGATCTCAGGAGACCACCTGGATTACGGTTCAGTTCTGGTCACTGGGACATAGTATGTGATATAGAATCTTGGAAAGAATCTGAGAGAATGATGTAAGACCAATCCCTGCATTAGGAACCTGAGTATAGAGACAGGTTAAAGCATCTTAATTTGCAATTCCTGAGAGACGAGAGCGAGGGGGCAAGACCTGATAGAGGCTTAAGGGAGTGGGCAGGGCTAAAATGCGGGGACATTACAAAGTTGCAATCAAACTATCTCAACCAGAGCAACTCAGAATAATGGTTTTAAATTAGATACTTAGATTTAGGCGTGACATAAGTAAACACTGGTTTAAAATAGAGAGGGATGAATGGAATAAGTTACCAAATATCACTATTAACCTAAATACGTTGAATTGCTTCAACATAGGGTTGGATGCTCATATGAGCACAATAGGGTCAGTAAACGGACCACCGGTATGGGCCAATAGGCTCCGCTGCAGTTTTCTCCATTTGTTCTTATGTTCCTATGTTTTGCTGCCAGGTTGGCCTTCGCTGCCTTTACATAGTTAAACTCAAACAGTATATTTTTTTACCTGTGGTCTTAAAGGCTAAGCCTATTGGCACTTACTTACATTTCCATCACTTATAGCCAACACTTTATACCAAATGGATAAAACAAGAGGACTTTCAGAAATGGAAACATGGATGCGGATTAGTAGGGGGTAAATGCTTGCATATCGGCTTTAAGCGAAATCTGCAACATGTAATGTAAGCGAAGAAGTTAATCCAAGATGAAAAGTAATGATCCTCTATAAAGCCAACACTTCATAAATAACTTCTAGAAATTGGAAAGGAAATTGAACATTAATAACAAACAAGTTTCAGAGAACCAGTCTACTAGTGTCAGGTTACCCCTGCTGGTCAGTCGAGATGGCACCGAATAGACCTATTGTCTGTATTTGTAAGTTGTAAATTGCATTTTGTCTCCGCAAATATCCAAATTTTGGCCAGTTCAATAAGTATAGTAATTCATCTCTGCTTCCATCAGTTCATTTATTTGTGTGTCTGGAGAGGCCAAAGGGTAGTTGTTCTACCACTTCCCTCTGTTATTATTAATTTCAATTGGTATATATATATAAGGAATGCAAATACTGTGATATATTCTAATATAAGAATAAAGCTTTTTAATTGCATCATAACCATTACCACTCTCTTTGCCATTTTATCCCACAACGGAAGTATAAAACAAGAAGATAAGCTTAAGCCGGACACAACTCACACACTCAGCTGCTGAACCATATCACCCCCAAAGCTTTTAATAGATTATCAACCTATTTTTTCTACAGGTTGTGTGTATATAAATTGTATTCTATGTATTATCGGTTACCAATGATTACTAAATAAAACCCCGGCATCAACTTCTGTCTCTCTGATTCATGATATTCAGTGAGCCTGATCAATGGCAAGTAATAAATTCCTTGAGGAACACAAACACACAAGCAACCTGTGTCAACATTTAAATGTGTCAGAAATATGTAATAATATATGAAGAATGTTTCAATTATATATATATATATATATATATATATATATATACATATGGTAATCTGGATGATCGTATTCCGGTACGTTGATAGAATTTATTTATATAGTTTCTATACATCAATTTGCACGTAATCACTATTATTTAACATTATTCGAAATTGTATATAATTTTCAATAATCACCATAACTACATTGTAAGTTCTTTAAAGAAGGAAGATAAAGACAGAGAAACCACCTGCATGATGCCATTAATGACTATGAGTGATAAGTTCACTCTGGGTAAGCCATGTAACTGGCATTGTGTTACCAATTGTCTTAGGGTGGTTAATATACGCAATACTGTGCTTGTCTCACACTGATAATTTGATTACATTTTCTTTTCACACATATCTTGCAAGAGCGGAGATGTTGAAATCAAATTATTTCTTGCTGATATAGAGACCAGATGCCACCCGTTATTGAGGAGGTGGATATGATGAGTTTATATCTACCTCATGCCTTAAGATGCCTGGCACTATGGAATTCTCTAAAGAGGTGACACCAACCCCTGCTTCCTCTTGACTGAGTGCCATATAAATTCGCCTCACGGCATGGTGTTGACATTTCTCTGTTGCTAAATTGCCTTATCCACTGTAGACTGTCAATACCCAGCTGACTTCTTCTGCGGCGATAGTTCGGTGGATTCCCATCCATCCGTTAATCCCTTACGAACCTTGAAAAGGGTCCACAACCTGCTGTTTTGGGGACACAGCGTTTCTGCATGTCCTGTTAGAGAGTAGATATAAGCATATATACATGTGCCCTTCTAGTTGTGAACACGAAGCAAGATATTCCATGGATAATTATCCTTTTAGCAATAAATGCTGGTGTCGTGATCAGGAGTCTTTTACAAAGCTCTACTACTGATTTCATAATGATAAGTGGCACTCCTTTATCGGTTACCATCTAAAAATAAACCTCCTCAGTGTCATTCTGTCAGTGGTGTGTTACGAGACATGAATTCAAACAGATGTTGCGTTCTTTGTTGTTTGACTTAATTATTGGTTGTGTTACTAGATAGGTAATGCAAGGAGTTAAGAGAAATATAAGAATATAGACAACAGTCGGTTACAATGAATTATATTAGGTTTAATCTAATAGACCTACAGTAGATACGACCGTGGAGAAGAGGCACAAAATACCTTGGCATCTAAGGAACACGCGACTTGCTATGGCATGTTTCACATGTCAGCTTTTCATTAATCCGTACTGTTTATATTGCTATCGCTGAATTATAATACAGTCTATTTCTATGAAGCCATCTTATAATATGATGCTTTATAAGAATTCTCAGTGAGTACTAATGCGTTTCATTTATATTTTGTTTAACGTTTTTATACATGACCGTCCCTATATTAAGATTACCTTAAAATTTCGAGAAAATAAGAAATATATTTAGATTATTTCTATGTACCGTTTTTCCCTGAATTGCACAACAGGCTTTTATTATGTTAATATTCATAAACCTTTTTAGTTTAATGTTCAATAAATACAAATTGTTTCATTGGTTTCCCCTTTACAATAATTGTTGCAATGTGTGAACCACAAAACTTATGAGTAAAGTTTGACATACATAGCCCATATATTTCATTAATAATATAATACGCCTAAACTAAAATTCAGTAATCAACTTCTCAGGTCTGTGTTTTGCATGAGTATAAGTTTGTGATACATTGGTCTTGTTCACACAACCACGCCTTTGCATTAATGATCGTTCTCATTTTCTCAACACAGAACTAAAGTGCCGTTCTACAACACTGCCCTCTCCTAGTCAAGCAGTCTAGCCCCTATGTCAAACAGTGACACAGCCTTTTAACAATTACATTTATTATCAAAAAAAATTCCTCTATGCATTCGTTTATCACTGCATCAAACTAGCCCAAACATATGATAAAAAGTACAAACGTTTGCATCAATTAAACAACTAACTTGTATTATCGCAATGTCCCTCATTTGTCCAAGTCCCTTACGTTGTGTATCTTTTTACTTTCCATTTGTAGTAGGCAGCTACCAAACAGGGAGGTACTACCACCTGGGAAGATATTGGAAGCATAATGTGTTGTCTATGGTAGACCCTGCTGCCATATGGCATCACGAAAATTGTGACCAAGTCCCAGGTTGCTGATCTGACTTTCTGCCTCATTTACACACAATTGCAGGGTCTCAATTGTTTCTCTTACTTAGACACCACAACATACATACAATATATCGTTTCTCACTCTTGAACTTTAATATTATTATAAGTTATTTTGTTTTTCATTTCGTAATTCTTTTCTAAAATTTTGAGGATTATATTTTCGCTCCCCAGGCCCCGATGTAGGTCACTGACTTGTGCCCGGGTGGGCTAACCCATGTAAAAAAAAAATGCGGGTCATTATGCGTTGAAAATATTCCATGAACCAATTCAAACACTCGCATATGTCTAAAAAATTTTCATATTTCATCCGCAGAAACAATTATCCCATCCACAATATCTTCAAAGATATCTAAGACATAAATGTTGCTACAGATTAAATTACAGGAAGTACAATCTTACAGCTTGAGCGTTGAGAGAAAGCAGAGCCCAGGAAATGTGTGTCCACGGTAGCAGGTGCTGGGCTAGACAGAGAGAAAGCCAGCCGGGACGAGGTATTTATGAGAGAGCTGACCACGCTGGCATTTGATCAGTCGACTTCATCCTGCTCTCTCACTGTTGCCAAGGTGATTTATACAATAACCATTTTATAATGTATATATGAACACCTCTGATATTTTCTCGGAATTACGAAATAAAAAAAAAGGGCCTAATTTTGTCATCTCACGGTGTCTTGACAGGGCGCTCAGCATAGCAGAGTCCCTGTTACTTCTCCAGCTAAGACCCTCATTATGTAGCAGTCAGGTCAACTCATCTACTGCGTTTTTAATATTTTATGAACAATTGACCAGTTGGGTTTATAATGTTGGGATCTTTTCTTTATTTTTACATTTGCTTATTTGTTTTAGATTCATGTTCATTTTCTACGTGATTTTTCATTTTAATTATCTACATAGTTTGTACGTCCCCTGCTCTATTTCAACTTGCTCTGTTTCAATTGTTTTGCATTGTCTGAAACACACGAACTCTCTCCTGAACTGTCGCTATCAATATTAAATCATGATGTTTTACCAAGTGCTGTTACGTTATATGGGGATGATAGCCAATTACCTATAACTTTTATGTTTATGTTTTTTATCCATTTTAGAAACATCTGACTGGTAATAAACGATCATGTATGTCGTAAAATCACATGTATATCATACGTGCCATAGGAAACTTAACTTAACCTTACCTAACCTTGTGAACAGGGATCGCTACTACCGCGCCACAAAATATAACAAAAGTAATCCTTGGTTTTGTTTTATTTCACACAAAACCTGTTCATTCGCATTACAGTACCTTTAAGCAACGTGGAGGTCCGTGTGTATATGTACTGCAAATAAATCACTATAAGTGCGCTTGATCCGTGTATTTGCTGATAACAAAAAGGAAAAAAAGAAAGCACGAAGTTCCCAAGCGCTTTCGTGTAATTCCCATCTTCAGGGGTGAGTACAGACTAAGTCCCAAGGGACAGCAGGTATCCACCATATTCAAGTCATTAAGTAGGAAACTAACCCTCTCACCTGATTACAAATCTTCTTAATCACCATATTATCCAATAAGACATTAAGAATTTCTTAGTAGTATCATTGAACAAAACTTTCTCTCAAATTCCTCTAAACTAAGAATCTGGAACGTAAATGTAACATTTAGTAACTCATGCACTGTAAAACAAATGCTAATTAATAACTCCCCCGGCAATGCAGGTGGCTGCATCTCCAATGTTCCCTGCAAGGAATGTAATATGAACGACTTAGGTCAGATAAAACAACATAAATATAGTGTTAGGACAGGCCAGGAATCCAATGCTCTGTTCGTTCATATGAGACAATAAACATTGCATTGACTGGGATAATGCCTCCTCAATATTACCATGTAATTCAATTGTCAGTAGGAACATTATAGAATCCAGTCTCATTATGATTCTTTGGGGTGATGGTTTGATTGGGGATCAGGTTGGGATTATCGAACAAGAATACATTGTAAGGTATAGGTTTATGCTTTATGCCAACGCTTCTAAGACATGTTATCCTAGTGATGTGAATATGACTCCATAAGAACTTAAGAAAATAAGGAGTCTGCAATAGGCCGGTTGGCCTGTGTATGGCAGCTCCTGTCGAGAGTTACTACCACTCTCTATCATCCATGAATCTATCTAGCCTCCTTTTAAAACTTTCCAGCGTTCCAGCACTTACTACAAAGTTGCTAAGCTTGTTCCATTCCTCCACCACCCTATTTGTGAACCAATTCCTTCCTATCTCCCTCCTAAACCTAAACTTACCCAACTTAAATCCGTTGCTACGAGTCCTATCCTGCTCGGATATCATTAGAACTTTATCTATATCCCATTTATTGATTCCTTTCACCCACTTAAATACTTCTATCATATCTCCCCGCACTCTTCGTCTTTCTAGGGAATGCAAGTTTAGTTTCTTTAATCTATCTTGGTAGGGAAGGTTTCTAAGTCCCGGAATCATTTTCGTCATTGTTCGCTGCACCGACTCTAGTGAATTGATATCCTTTCTATAATAAGGGCACCAGAACTGAACCGCATAATCGAGGTGCGGCCTGACTAACGTAAGATATAGTTGCAATAAGACCTCTGCACTCTTATTACTTACACTTCTAGATATAAAACCTAATACTCTGTTTGCCTTATTTCGAACATTAACGCACTGTTTTCTAGGCCGTGGGTCCGGGCTTACAAGTACCCCTAGGTCTCTTTCACAAGTAAACTTCTCTAGAGTTCCCCTAGAATGTAGGAAAAAATGGCACAGAAAAAATGGCAATACGAAACTATGGCACAGGAAAAAAAGGCATAATCACCAGACTAGGAAAAAATGGCACATTAATTTTTAGTGGCATGTTCTCGCTCAAATTTCATAACCTAACTTAACTTAACTTGACCTGACCTGACCTGATCTGACTGGCCTTAGCTCGTTAGCTCGAGCTTACGAGCAAGTTTGTGGTTCGTGAACTCGAAGTGAAATTTGTTGTGCCATTTTTTCCTAGTATGAAAATTTTGCTATTTTTTTCCAGTGCCATATTTTCCTGTTCCCTTTCTTCAGGTATCATTTTTTTACTGTGCCATATTTTCCGGTGCCAATTTTTCCGAGTACCATTCCCTTATTATTGATGAACTCCACCCATTATTATCTCCCGTTTCAATTTCTGTATAATACATTTTACTAAGTATTCATTGTTATATTTATTTTAGTCACATATGACACATTTAACTTATACAAAAATTTTCTTTGGATACAATTTTTTTTCAAAGTGGGTACGAGTTGTTTCAGGTGTGTACAAGTTGTCTTAGATAAGAGTTTTCATAAATCAGACAAGTTACTATCAGTTGGATCAATAAATAGGTAATGGATTATTCCTGCAGTGGAAGTAATAAACTGGCGTGAACTATATCAACGAATCCTTTAATGTAAACTACAAGATATTGTTCTCAATGTGTGAGGTCTTACTTCGAGGTAACAGTTCGAATCATTGTCCAACACTTTCAGGAATATATGATGTGCAGTAAAAGACGACGCACCAGATCTAGAGAGATTATGAAATAGATATAAATGGTAATAATTCTCGTATATCAGGAAAGAGATTGATAGAGGTAGATTAACTGATTGATCGTTAGATTAAGGTAGGGGTTATTAGAGAGATATAAGGCCATTTTTTAAATACTCGGGGCAGCAAGTCCGAAGAGCAATCCAGAACTTCGGGATACTATTTAGTAACACAAACGCCGCAACTCGAGGGGGTTAGTACGACTTATTCAAATAAATGTAAACAGACCAAGTCGATCTGCGCGCCAAAATTGAAGCAGAAACATGAGTTGTGGAGATAAAAATTCGTCTTCAAGGGAGATGGTAGACACCACCACCAATCATGCCAGAGTCTGCACCAGCAGGAACACTAAGATCAACTGATCCAACATCAGGATCATCCGGGCCACCACCAGCAGCATCTACATCAAAAAGAACCCTAAAACTGTAATTAGGAAAGAACTTATTGATGGAGTTTGACGCAAGTAGACAAGTGCAAACAGGCACTAGTCGATCCATAGTTTACCATGATGAGATGTATCAAGTGAAACATGTATATGGAGCAAGTAACAAGATCACTAGATTACAAGATGTTGTAACCGCTAGATTAAGGTTAGGATATAAGTACCTCTGGCAGTATGTTCCTCAAGCAGATGTAAACAAAACTAAATGTAAAGTGTGTGGCCATACATACACACACTTGAACACTACGTCCTCGACTGTGTGAAGATAGAACCTTTTAGGGACAGGTCCAAGCACACTGTGTGTGAAATGGCACAACACTTCATCTCTAATGGCAAGATAGCCGACATATTAAGATTGTATCCACTTTTTTGCACTCAGTAACTATATCAGTTCTCATGTACAGAACCAAATACGCAATGTGCTTGAATACCTCCCACGTAAATGTGAATAACAAAGTGTGAGGCCAGACATACTGCCTCACACGCCTGTTCTCACGCATTTGTGAATAAGTTACCCTTTATGTATAGAACTAAACAAATAATGTAAATGAAATACTGTGTAACTTTCGGTGCCATAATATCCTGACAACCGGGGTTAATTATTATGACCCTTTGTAAACCCTACTCTGTAATCCTTTTGCGCTACCGCTCACAGGATGAGTGTGGGGTGCACAATAAAGTAGCCGCTGCAAGCGGCAAAATCAAAAATCAATACATCCAGTCACGGGGGGAAGAAAGGGAAGCAGGTGAACAAGAGGAATGAATGCTTCAATGCCATTATTAAGGACAGTACACAAGAACTGAATGGTGCTATGTTGGAGGTCTTCACTTGTATGTACAATACATTATCAGCCCAATCTGTGTGTAATGTATTTTGAGCAAGCATTAGAGTTGTTGACTGGTGGTATATGTCAAGAATGCAGCCATAATTCCACCTCTGTCCTTGGGCAATTTAGTTTAATTGTGGAGACTTTGCCATGAGTGTCATGATCGATTTTTTTTATCTCTCTGTTCACTGTTTTCTGAACTTAATGGAGAATATGAAATATTTTTCATGTTCTAACATTTGTTATGATTTTTTTGTTCTTTTAGTTCTTACGAACACAAATAGATTCAACATATTTTTTGCTAGAGTTTCCTCTACACTATACTGTGATACTGTGTATAATATACTCACACTTATTGGGGAATTTTAATCATTCTTTTATTTCACATTTCTTTTGTACTTTAATTACAATATCAATACAGATACTGTACTATATTTGCAATTTCAAACTAAATATGATTACTATTAATTTATATTCAGTCCTGTACATTTACTGTGATAACTTTGGTTTTGCTGCTTGTTCTTATCTAGAGGAACTAAAATTGTTTATAGATTTCTCTTACACTTGCAAACTATTTCAGTATAGTACTTTGATGCCTTTAAAAATGTGTACATTAATTATTTCAAACAAAATACTTTACTGCTTGAATGATATAAATTTTACATGTACTGTACTGTACTGTACTGTGTTATACTGTGATATATTTTTCTTTAGTCGTGCCCGTGTAATCCCTTTTTAATTTTGTTTGAATTGAAATCCTGTTTCAAGTTGTACTGTGATAATGTTTGGAGAAAATGAAATATGTTATTTACAGCAAAAAAATATTATTGGAAAATAACCTTGGTAATAAAATTTATTATCTAAAAAAAAAATTTACCAAACCAATAACGCTTCCATTTGCCCTTACACTTGCTCTACTTTCAAACAAACTACATTACCCGGTATACAAATCAAAACCATGTATCAATTACACCCCTTTCTACATCGATGTGGTTCAGCTGTGTTCCCTCCAGGGCTTCTAATAGGGACAAGAGACCCACCAATGCAGCCAAGTACACCAGACATCCCTACAATGGTGTGAAATTGAATTACAAGGTTTTGTGTGTTGCCTAATTCTGGAAAGTGGATGTAATCTTTTGCCATCAGGGTCAAAATAGTTGCAAAGCTTCTAACAAAATTGGAAACTGATGAGACAGAAATCTTCAAGCATTCTGCCATACTAATTTGGAAGCTGCCACTGCGAAAGTATCTCAATGCAGTTATGAGTTGCAGGTGTGTGGAATACTGCATCCTGTAGGATAGATTTTTTTATTTACTGTTTTGTCTAACATTGCTTATCCTGATTATGGTAAACAACAGGGCTCCTATTATGATATATATTACTGTAGTACATTTTAAGCTCTTTCAGAGAATCGCCCTTTTTAACGTGCAACATACAGGTCATATCCCCGTTAGCCGGAATAATTGGTGCAGAGACTTCCAGATAACAAGACTCTCAAACCATGAAAAATCCCACATCCCTAGAATTTTCAGGTTACATGTAAAAGTTTCTGAATTTAAACATTCTTTCATCCTCGGAGACCTGGGAAATTAAATGGAGAGTTTCAGGCCTGGAATCAAATTGTTGAAGAGGTTTTTCGGAATTTTCTAAAAAAAATTAACCCGATTTTCAACTTTGAAAACTCGGTCACAGACCCAGAATATTGAAAATTTGCCCGGCAAAACTCCGAGCTAATTTAATTTCTGAGTACGTATTGGCGAATTCTGGGTAATGGAGATATTACTACACTGTAAATATGGCCTGGTGGTATTATTGTACATGGGAGGTGGGTTTAGGGGTTTACATGGGTGCTGAGTACTGTACAGTGGTGATGTCCCCCTCCCCCGTTGTTTTCATCACCGCATAACATTGAATAAATACCCAATACACTTCTAAACAAAAACCAAAATCCAAGAGTTAGAGTTTCGGTCAACAAAGATATATTTAGTCTCACCTAACCAAACTTTACCTAACCTAACCTAACTCTTCCTGACCTAATGTAACTTTACCTAACCTAACCTGACCTAACCTAACCTGACCTAATCTAACCTAAGCTAATTTAACCCAATTATGTTGTAGACTGCACACTATAGTAACACCAGAATTTCTTGCCTCATCCATCTTGAACTCTTGGCATTGTGGCTCAACTCGTTCAAGATGTTCATGGATTCATTCCTTGGACAGTCTATACCTCTTGATGAACTCCTCCTGACAGAGATAAGCAAAAGGATTTTGATGGTCTCTAATAACAATACCAGAATGCTATAATGCCAGCCTGAAAAAAAAAACTAATATCTATTATCTATATATTGCAGTAACTACTGTATATAAGTTAAATTACTTTTGATAATAGTTTACAAGCTTGTTGCATAGCTATTACAGAGAATTTCCTAAACAAATTTGTCCCTAGTATATTTAACTTTTGTTTATGGTTGTTCCAGTGACGTAAGATAGGACTGACACGATTTAAATCGAGTGATTGAAACACCATTAATAAATTATGGCACTTTTTTATAACCCTGAGTTCGAACATTTCATCTATAAAAATATTTTACGTAACCTAATGTAGCCTTACAAACATTGGTTGTACCTAAACACAACCGGAACAACAACAACCCAAACAGTGAAATATAGCAGGAGAAATTTTTTCCATGGTAATTATCAGCGTGAGTCACAGATGACACTTGTTGTAGACTATTACCTCAATATCTACCAAGTACATTTGGCTCATCTTAGATCTTTCCTGTATAATATATTGGCGAATTGGAAATGGTATTACATTTACCTATCACAAAGAAAAGTGCCTTGCTTACCATACTTGAAGCTATAAAAGGATGATTGTAGGAACGCAATGCTTGATAAAATTGTAAAAGGGCGATGGGGAGACGAAAAATACTCGGAGTTGAGGGTTAGAGGTCACGGGGGTACACGGCGGTCTCTTAAAAATATATACATTTCCGTTGGAACCGGTTATTAGGACATTGAAATATTTGTTTTCTTTATTATCTTAACTTAATGTACATATAATTTATTTATATGACTTTTTCTATTCATATATAACTAGTTTGAGGGATAAGTCTTTCGGGTGCCTACCCACACCCGAGGACTTATCCCGAACTTTCCAATAATATTGTCGGACTACCAATGGTATTTGGTTTGAAAATGAATTACGGCTTGGCGGGCATTGTCGGGATCCTAATAAGTAACCCGAATGTTTAAGAAATGGCTGGGGTGTCAGCCCCATTTCTGCAATGGTCATGTCTCTACACACTACTAGCTCTGCACTTTATGGAGCTGTTGCTGACAGAGCTCACCGTAGATCACACTCAACCTGGTGCTTGTTTCGAGTCGTTGACTTTATTGGCAGAAGGGAAGGAAAGCTCGACTCACACAGATATGTTACAGAAAATTGCATCAGCACACGAAGAGCGTTGTTGCCAAGTCCAGGGTAAATGGGGCACATTTTCACCCAGAACTCACTTAGACTTACGAAGTTGAATTCATCTTTCGCTGAGGAGTTGTGTTTGAGTAAGCAAAACTCTTCCTGGAGCTTTGTAGGGACGTCATTTCCATGACATTTGAATGGATTCCTTGTCAGAGCCATGGTAATTTGAATGGTATTTATGTCTGGGAAGTACCCGCTGGAACTCATCAATGAGGGAGTTAAGGTGCTCTCTGATCTCTGCCTTGAGCATCTGGTTGATGATATCTTCTTTGATGACTTCAGAAAATCGGTAAAATTGGGTCGCATTTCCGTCTTGAATCCGTCTCCCCACAGAGCTGCAGTTTTGCAATGAATGCATTGATATTGTCTACATGGTGGATGATGTTGCTCTGACGGCACTGCAGTTTCCGGTTGAGCTCATTTACAGCTTCGTAGATGTCTCCCTGAAATTCTGGCATGTTCGTCTTGGAGAGTAGCTCGTCTTTATTGTGATTGGCCAGGAAAGTCTTCACTTCTTCATAAAACCAAGTGGGCATGTTGCCCTTTGATAGCCCGCGGACTTGGGTGTGGAACAACAGAGCTTGGTGTTCAGCATCCATATTTTCACACAGTTCAAGGAAAAGGCGCATGTTCAGGACTGACCCTTTGATGAAGTTGACCTTTTTGATGATGGTTTCTTGGTGAGCATGCAGGGCTGCTGGTAATGTCTTTGAAGCAAGAGCTTCTCTGTGAATTGCTGTAGGATTCTTACGCTTGACAAGTGCCAAGAATCCAGATCGAGACCCCAACATTGCTGGGGCACCATTTGTACACACTCCGATTACATCCTTCCTTATCAAAGAAAGTTTAAATTAGTTTCACCACATCCTCTCCTTTTGTTGTCGTGGTCAATGGACGACAAAACAGGAAGTCATCTTCGAAGTCTTGACCATTAATATATCTGGAAAAAATGAGAGGCTAAGAAAGATTTACCATCATAAAAATGTCCAAAGATGCAGCAGCAGGCGAAGACAATATACCAATGAGCATCATTAAGAAAGTAGCCCACTTATTACTACCTGTTCTCCTACACATTTGTAACTCCTCCTTCATTAGTGGTGTCTTTCCGGATAAACTGAAAATTACTAAAGTTCACCCAGCATATAAAAAATCTGGGGGCAAAGGTCTCTTCAAGAATTACCGCCCCATATCAGTCCTCCCAGCTTTGAGTAAGATCCTGGAAAAGCTAGCATGTAACAGACTAAATTCATTCTGCAATGCCAATAACATCTTTACAGACTCCCACTTTAGATTTAGAGCTAGAAGGTCGACTGAAAGTGCTCTGCTATCCTTTAATAATGACATCTTAAATTCCTTTGATATCAGTCAGTTCACAGCCGGTATATTCTTGGACCTCTCTAAAGCCTTCGATACTGTCGGCCATACCATCCACCTCTCAAAACTTGAACATTAAGGCATTAGGGGCCTATCCCACAATTGGTTTTCCTCATATCTGGCCAACAGGATGCAGTATGTCTGCTATAATAATCACCAACCTGACTCCTCGCCAATCTTGTATGGAGTCCTCTAAGGTTCCATTTTCGGTCCAGTACTGTTTTTGTTGTACATAAACGACATAGTCCACGCCAGCTCACTCATAAATACAACTTATTTACAGACTATAGTAATCTCTATGCCAGCAACTCAGACCTCCATTCCTTGATGAGAACTATGAACACTGTAATTAACTAAAGTCAGGAGCTGGGTAATACGTAATAAACTGACCTTAAAACTTGAGAAAACCCACTACACGATCTTTCACAGAAGGAGAAACTTACCCCGAGACTTGGACCACCTGTACCTTGGTAATACAGTCCTCAAATGTGAACAAAATACTAAATTCCTCGGAGTTATTGTCAATGAGAAACTTAATTGGAGAAACCACATACAAGCCATTCACAGTAAAGTCAATAAACAGTGCCGTATCATGTATCACACTAGACAGTCACTCACTCTCACAGCAATGAAAGAAATCTAACATGATCTTGTCTACCAACACCTGATACACTGTCACACACTATGGGGGGGCCTCTGGCTCTTCAAAAACACAATCTCTGGTTACTGCGTAAAAGAGAGTTGTATGGACAATGACCTACTTGAAAAAAAACAGATCACACAAACGAGAAATTTGCTATATTGAAAATTTTAAAATTCGAAGATATTTACACCTACTGCTGTGCCCTCTTTGTTTACAAATCTATCAATCAGTTGCTTGACAATAATTATTTCCAGTTCCGGAATAATCAGAGATACAACTTAAGGCACCCAGAGCTACTAAAACAACCCCCCATGCGCTCCTCTCAGTCCCAGACCTCCATAAAATATCACGGTGTGAAGGTGTGGAACAACTTACCCCCACCCATCCGAGCAAAGACTACGCTCCTTTCCTTTAAATCATCTCTAAAACATATCTATTGTCGAAGTATTAATATTTCTTGTAACACCTACTATATTTACAATACCTGTTTTTTTTTTACCATCAAAACCGTTTTATCGGAAATTATCATGTAAATAGATAAGTAATTACCATTGCAATAAACATATTTGCCAACTAGTCATAATCCTGAGAGCTCTGTCGTCTTGTTCAACCTAATTACTGTACAACCCATGTTGTACTGCTCCCCTATTCTACTTATGTTTTTCAATTCCACTGTAATTTATGCATAAAAATTAATAAATATATAAATATTGAAGTGATAACCGTGGTAACATTCTGAGATGTTCGTATTACCACCATGCTATTGTACTATTCCAGATGATACTAAATGTTGCATAATACTTCCTTGAGATAAATGTATAGTATATATCAGGTACCTAAAAGAGAGCTCAGGATCTCAACTGGCTCAGCCATGTTAATATTGTTATTATTATCCACTCTGTATCTGTGTTTTTCTGGCTAAATAAACTGTTTCAATTCAAATGTTAATGATCTCGTCTAATTGAATGGCAAAGTACTTTGATGACTTTATCTTGGAAATCACTTGATCTTTAATGTTGTGAGCTATATCACGTATCCTTGACTTGTTATTATTATTAGACAGCGGGATTTGCTTCAGTTTGTTAACTGCAACATCGTTGAGGACAATTTTTGCACTATCAAGGTTACATGGCAATTACATATGACGCATGTGTGGTAGCCTTTGAAGTCTGTTGGGTGGATCCACTGTCATCCAGCCACAGTTTCTTCAAACCATCGGATTTATTCTTAAGAAATGCGCGATCCCTTTGAGCTAACCTTTGGTGAAGCTTTAGCTGAAATGGTTTCATGGAATCATTTCCAAGTACTTTGTGGCATATTTCGCATTGAGGTACTTCTGTACCATCCATATTGGATGTAATACAAATTTAGTGCCATACCTAGATAAAGCTATAGACCTCGATGAGACTATTTCAAGTCCGGAATTTTGATGAGAAAATATCGACCATGTCATGTCCCTGCTAATGGGACTTGAATGAAATTCGTCAAACTGTAATACCCACTAAACTCAGACCAGATATTCTCTCACTTGTACAAGATAATATTGGTGGACACTTAGGAGTCAATAAAACTTACCATAAAACTGCGCCGCACTTTTATTGGCCCAAGTTTAAGAATGATGTTGCTCATTGCTGTAAAACTTGTCATGATTGCCAGGTCGCAGGAAAGCCAAATCAGTCCATTAAACCATCTCCCCTAATACCAATTCCTGTGTCTCAAGAACCATTCCACAAGGTGATAATTGATGCTGTGGGACCCTTACCAAAACGTGCAGCAGTAATCAGTACTTGTTTACCATCATGTTTACAACATCTCGCTACCCTGAAGTGATTCCATTAAGATGCATCACGTCTAAGTTAATCGTTAAATCATTGACTATATTCTTTACTCAGTACGGGATCCCCCTTCAAGTTCCGCCAGGTCAGGGTTTAGGAATATTCCATTACACTCTCAAAAACTTGCTAACAAAGTATTGTAATGAAAACAGTCTTGACTAAGGTAAAAGTGTTCAGTTTGTGCTATTAGGAGCAGCAAACAACCCCTTGGGCTTTCTCCAAATGATTTAGAGTTTGGCCATGCAGTTAGAGGGCCTCTGAAGGTATTGACATATTCATGGTCTGATGATACACCCCCGACATCCTTGTAAACCTATGTTACGCAGTTCAAAGATAAAATGAAAAAGCATTAGAATTGGATAGGTCTAACTCAGAGAAAGCTTAGAGTAACACGAAGAAAAATCTTGATAGAAATTCAGAATTTAGAGACTTCAAGCCGGGTGGTAGGGTTCTAGCACTTCTTCCTGTTAATAAGAGTTCATTGCAATCTAAATTTTTTGGTCCTCATGTGGTTAAAAACAAAGTTAATGATGTCAACTGCATCATCCAAACACCTGAGTGTAGAAAACCAGCAAGATTTGTTCACATTAATCTACTTAAGAGGTATTATCCTAGTGATGAAAGTGCAATGGTTAGTGTTTTGTTGAGTTCACCTGACTACAGTAAAAAACATGCAGAGTTTTGAGAGATTCAAATACATATTGAAGTGAAGTTGCAAAATTCTGACATACTTGCTATTCACTTAAAAATGTTACATCATCTACCATCAGATCAAGCTGAAGATGTGAGGTGTCTTCTCCAGGACTTCTCACAACAATGTCCCAACTGTAACAGCATGATGTTGAGCTGATGAAGGGCGCCAAACTAATCACACAGGCACCCTATCGCATGAGTCCAGCTAAGCTAGAACTTCATGGGCAAGAAGTGAAGTATATTTTTGCCCACAGCTTCATTGCAAAGAGTAGAATTGGTTGGGTCTCACCTTGTGTACTTGCGCCGAAACCTGATGGGATTCATCCATCAGGCTACAAGTGATCTAGACGGAATGTAGTCTTACATTGACGACCTCATTGTATACAGCAGCACCTGGAAGGAACACTTGTTAAAACTATGCCTTCTCTTTGTCAGTCTTGTCAAACTAGTCGACCTGGGGTACAACGTCGGGTATGGTGAGGTCAGTTCATTTGTAGTGAAGGTAAAGGCCATCAACAACCTACAGATTTTCAGTAACTGAAAGGAAGTCATGAGGTTTCTGGATATGGCTGGGTATTACAGATGCTACTACCCAAACTTCTCTTAAGTTGCAATTCCAGTAACTAGATGCATGTTTATCAAGAAGCCTTCAACACTCTACTCACCAATGGACCAGTCCTAGGAGCACTTGACTTTAGCCAACCATTCATCCTTCAAGTATGCTAGTGACTTAGAAGCTGGAGCTGTGTTACTCCAAGAGGGATCAGACAAGATTCCACATCCGGTATATTTTCCTTCAACCAAGTTCAAGAAGCATCAGAAGAACAATGCTACTATAGAAAAAAAAATGCACTGCATTGCTATGTGGAGTAGATCAATTTAATGTGCACCTCAGTAGTTCAACTGGTCCCATTATTGTTTATACTAATCAAATCCCCTTAAGCCTTTAAATAAAATACAGAATAAGAGTCAAAGATTAATGAGGTGGTGTCTGGCCTTACAGCAACACATTCTAGTAATAAAACATATAAGAGGTAGAGATAATGTGATTGCAGATTTGTCATCAAGAGCATAAACAAGTTCTTTTCATAGAATTATTTAGCATCATAACAAATCTCTCATGGAAGAAGATGTTACTTTTAATGTATCTCATAATATAACCTTATAACTCTTAAAAAAAACTATTTGTTTCATGAGCTGTACTTTTACATGTCTTGTCAATAATGTCCCAGCCAGACTACTGTACCCTTTGGTGTATTATATATATTGTATATTTTGTCAGTAAAACTTCACAATGATTATGTCTTAGTGAATAGTTATAGTAACTGTTAAGTACAATGTTTGGATCGGTCTGTTCAAAGCACCCCGATAGAGGCAGGCGGCTTGAGAGCTGGGTCAGTCACTCATAAGCTTGGGTAGTCAAGGGACCTTTCACCACTGGCCTACGTTGTCAGTTCACGTTTGTCTTCGAACTGATGATGGTATTCATTGTTGAGGCTGGCTGACAATTTTAGTGTTTTATTTATTTTTGTTAATTACATTTATAATAGTGTATTTATTTGTTTATCGGTGATGTTTGCGATCCTAGATTAACTAAGTATGTTCAATGTGACGATTTTCTATTTCATTGTTATTAGCGGGAAGAGATGCAAATATAGTTATACATTTTACTTCAAATTTCTTTACTTCAATCATCAAGTATTCACTTATAAAAGTGGCTCTTCCCAAAACAAACTTTAAGAACGATATACAGTAATTCACTATAAACACAGGTTAATTCACTGAAAATTAATGATAAAGTAAATATCAAATATACCCGAGGCATTTAGTGAAGAGACATAGCAAAAACTGGTTAACAGATTAGTGAAAAAAGGTGAAACATGTGGTTCAAAAGTAAATGCTATAATGACAAAAGTAATGGTTGTGTTCAATTTGGAAATAAATACTAAAATGAAAATTATGATAGTCAACAAGAAACTTAAAGCGAGTGGAAAATTTTTGTGTATATGAAAAGTAACTTAACTTTGACGGTAGATGTTCGGAAGAAATCAAACCAAGAAAAGGACCTGCAAAAAGAGCCTTAAACTAATATTAATATAAAATACAAAATGAAAAGGGGAATTAACTTTAATTTAAGAAAAATGGCTGTTGAAAGGCAAGAGAACTGATGTATGGGTTAGATGCGTAAACACTCTCAGTAGACACCAGAAAGAGGTTGGAAGTTTTTAAAATATGGTGTTATAGAATAAGCTACAGTGACAGGAAAACAAACGAAAAGAATTAAGATTAGCAAAAATTTTTGGAGAAAAACTTGAAATATTCAGAAAAAGAAAAATAATATACTTTGGTCACACAATTACAGAAGAGGGGATTAATAGCAGAAACACTAAAGGGGAAAGTTGGTGGTAGGAGGGCCAGTGGAAGGCAGAGATGAATGAAATTAAATACTGGGTCCCCAGACATATACAAAACCTTAGATGATTGGTCAAAACAGCACGAGAATGTTTAGAGTGGGGGCATTCTGATTGGCTGAAGATATAATAGAATATTCTAAAAAGAATACAAAAAGACCCATTTGATAAAACCCAACACGAAGGAGCATAAGATACAATAAGGAATAAATTGGTAAATTAGACTCACTCGCCTCCGAGAGTAAAACCCAGTATTATTTGTCAATACAATCTACGGACGTAAGGAGCAACATTTCACTTAATAAAGGAAATGAGACTCGCACCTGGAGTCTGGATGGTGTGTTTAAACATTTATATTTATTTGTGCTTCTCTATATTTACTGATCGACTGCGTCTGTAAAATTCGCGATAAAAAGTTTTCACGTAAACTAGGAGGAAGTTTTTTGTAGAAACGTTGAAAAGAAGAGAGTGAAAAGTGGAACAAATGATTTAAAGTAACTATCAGTTTTGACAAATCTCTTCAAACAATACAATTGTTAGTTATGTTTAATATAATTTGTTAAGATCAAATGCCCAATATTATCTGTTCTGTTATTCATAGGAAAATACTGACATAGGGAGTACTCCTTGTCAGCACTTAATATATACAGTATGAGGAGCTCAGAGCTGTGGCAGCTGAGGGAAACAAACACGACAAAGCTGTTTAACATAAATGTTTATTAGAACTTTTAATCCTTAAATGAGTTTCCTGTTGGCTTATGTTTATGTCACAATTTACATATATATATATATATATATATATATATATATATATATATATATATATATATATATATATATATATATATATATATATATATATATATATATATTAAATTATAATCGTTTTACTTCTATATATACTGTATACATACGGTAGTATCTAATCAATAGACTAAAGTTTGTTTCCAGGTTTTCTGCTCCGCGTATTTTATAACGGAGAAATCTGTCTGATAAGAATCTCACCACACAGGACCAAGAGACTAAGAAGGTGGCCGCCAGAGAACACCACAAACATGCCCTGGAAAAGAAAAAAAATAATTTTTTTCATTTTATGGGACAAACTTAAGGTATGCAACCTACGACTTAGATAATGAAGTGTTTGTACAGAAAATTTTCCGACTCATTTCTGCCATAATAAAGCATCTAACTTTATTTTTGTAACAACAGAACAAAATTAGAGAATCAAATAATTTATAAATGGTTTCAATATCATCCTAACTGTATGTAAAATGAAGCTTGTGTTCCGAGAAAGGAGAGCAAAATTATGTAAAACATTTCCTATTTCTTCCTAACCGAAAGAAATCATGAATTAAATCAACATGATATTAGTATACCTTACGAGACTATAAAAAAAACTCAGAAATTATACAATTGATTAAATATAACTTACCCAGAGGTTGTTGAGCGTCAGAGATGTCCTGACTGTGATCTTGGAAGGAGCGTGGAAACAGATGGAAGAGTTAGGCTCATCCTCTTTCATCCAGTGGTTGAAGAGTCCTGCCTCTCTCACTGACATTATCCTTCACCAAGAAATGTTAATAATAAATTACATACACACACACACACACACACACACACACCACACCACAGCTGGGTGGCCTGAGTTTGCCCTCCTATCGAACCTGTAACCCTTAGGACAAGAGGCGAACACTGTATCCAATCTCTATCTTTAGGGATTTTACTTAATCCCTTAAATGATATAGGGTTTCACGTAATTGCTGTGACCGTCAGCTAATTTAAAATAATCTAATCTAACCTAGCCTAATAATTAACTATGTTCCTCAATAATTATATTTACATTTTTTTACATTCCGTATACATTTGCTAAGACACAATTAGGAAATTCGTGTAAAAAGATACCCTAATTACCAGTGATTTTACCAGATCCTTAAAATGCCAAAAATGTAAGGGATTTCCTTAAATTTCTTGTCCGTATTCAGTGCTTCCACGTCTAACTTCACTAAGTGTTCACTCATTCATATTCTCAAATCACCTGAGGGTAGAGTGATATCAGATTCAAAGGATAAGCGGATAATTCCTCATCAGGAACTGAAGGTGCCTGAAACTTCGGTTCCCAAAGTCAAAACAAATGATATAGAAACAAAACGTAATGGATAAATTAAAACTAACCAGACTTCACGCCCGGAAATTCTCCTATTCAGTCCAAACAGGTTAGACTATCTCCCAACACTTCAACCGTCTCACCTCGTGGAAAGATCCTACTATACAGCAAACCCCAGAGAAAGGTGATCCATCCAACCCTATTTCCCACCGACCATTTTCATTCACCTCAATAATAGTATAAATTTTCGAAACGGTAAACAACATTATACGGGACGTTTTTTCTGTTGATCTATTATTCATTAAACATTCTCTTCATCAAGCAATAGAAGCAATTCAATAAAGAAAACCTATGCAGTAGTCCTAGATATCTCCAAAACATTTGACATGGTATGGCACCGACCTTTTCTTGCAAAATCAATATCTCAAGGCCTTTCCTACTTAGTTCTTTTAATATCAGCTTTTTTTATCTAGTTGTAGAGTGTTTCTATTTGTGTGTGTGTGTGTTAATAGTCGCCAAGATGACCTAAAGGAGGTGCAAATCACAAGAGCCATGAGGGGAGCAGACTGTGGGACGGACCATATGCTAATAAGAGCCAGGAATCGCATAATAATTTTACCCCAACACCTGAGGCAAGCCCCCAGTCGTAAACGTAACATCAAAACCCTCAGTAATCGTGAAACCTCTAGCTCATTAAAAAACAAGATCACCGAAAAACTCCCAGCCCATAAAATTATGGAACCTGGCACTGTGGAAGATGGCTGGAAAGAGTTTAAGACTGCAATGAGTGAAACTGCAATAGAAACACTCGGCTTTTCTAAAAAGCGACACCAGGACTAAGTGTAGATCAACCGTAAGTTTCACTATTTATGAGTGTGATGAGAAAGGGACGGCGTCTATGTAAATACAGTAGACGTGAATCAACGTCCGTTCGATATTAAGTTGTGAGTAGTGACCAATCGAGGGAGAAAGGAATTGGGACTTCGTTCCCTCTCGAGGGAAGACGGAGCCATCCACTGCGGCTCTCAAATAACGTCTTCCTCTAGTCAAGGATATCAAGCTACTGCTCGCTTTAGGTGGCCAGAGAGCCGGCTACTTATGCCTTTACTCAGCATAGTATGACGCAGCTTTCCGTGGGCACACCTTATCACGTGCATTGAACATGTCACCTCATAGCCAGTGGAAAGTTGCAGGGGATCAATCTGAATATAAATCAGATGTAAATAACCCATTTATATAATACTTCTGTTGATGAGACAGGGGCCATTACAGACCCATACCGACCCTGCATACATAAGAACATAAGAAAATAAGGAGTCTGCAATAGGCCGGTTGGCCTGTGCATGGCAGCTCCTGTCGAGAGTTACTACCAATCTCTATCATCCATGAATCTATCTAGCCTCCTTTTGAAACTTTCCAGAGTTCCCGCACTTACTACAAAGTTGCTAAGCTTGTTCCACTCGTCCACCACCCTATTTGTGAACCAGTTTCTTCCTATCTCCTCCTAAACCTAAACTTATCCAACTTGAATCCGTTGCTCCGAGTCCTATCCTGCTCGGATATTATAAGAACTTTATCTATATCCCCTTTATTGATTCCTTTCACCCACTTAAATACTTCTATCATATCTCCCCGCACTCTTCGTCTTTCTAGGGAATGCAAGTTAAGTTTCTTTAACCTATCCTGATATGGAAGGTTTCTAAGTCCCGGAATCATTTTCGTCATTCTTCGCTGCACCGACTCTAGTGAATTTATATCCATTCTATAATAGGGGCACCAGAACTGAACCGCATAATCGAGGTGCGGCCTAACTAGCGCAAGATATAGTTGCAATAAGACCTCTGCACTCTTGTTACTTACACTTCTAGATATGAAACCCAATACTCTGTTTGCCTTATTTCGAACATTAACGCACTGTTTTCTAGGCCGTAGGTCCGGGCTTACAAGTACCCCTAGGTCTCTTTCAAAAGTCGACTTCTCTAGGTTGATGTTGTTCAGGCTGTATACATTATAAGTATTTGTTCTTCCAATATTAAGTACGCTGCACTTGCTGGTGTTGAATTTCATTTGCCATTTTTCAGACCACCCCTGCAGTTTATTTAGATCCTCCTGTAATGCATTTGCATCCTGCCCTGAATTAATTTGCCGTCCTATTGTGGTGTCATCCGCAAACTTGCTTATGTCACTGCTGATCTCAGTATCAAAATCGTTTATGTAGATTATGAACAAGAGTGGGCCTAGTACTGACCCCTGGGGAACCCGACTGGTTACACGGCCCCATTCAGATTTAACACCATCTACGCTGACCCTCTGCGTTCTATCGGTGAGCCATGATTTTATCCAATTTAAAACTTTCCCCAGGATACCATGAGCCTTAATTTTTCTCAGAACCCTCTGATGCGGTACTCTGTCAAATGATTTGCTAAAGTTTAAGTAAATAACATCGTAATTTTCGTCATTATCTACTACCTCGAAGACTTTCCTAAAAAAACGTTAGCAGATTTGTTAGACAAGATTTTCCCTTTGTAAACCCATGTTGAGAGTCGTAGATTAATTTGCTTTTCTCTAGATGCGATCGGATGCTATCTGCTATAATTGATTCAAGAAATTTCCACTACTGACGTCAAACTGATCGGCCGGTAATTTGACGCTGATGCTCTGTCTCCCTTTTTGAATATGGGTACTACATTTGCCTGTTTCAACAAGTCTGGCACAACTCCAGTGTCTAATGATTTTGTAAATAAGTTTACGAGGGGTCCGCTAATCTGTTCCCTACACTCTTTCAAGACTCGAGGGAAAATTTCATCCGGCCCTGGGGATTTTGTTTTCTTTAGTTTATTTATCTTCTTAAGAACATTCTCTTTTCTGATAGTGATATTCTTTAATTTCTCTTCTTCCTTTCCCTTAAATATCAGTTCCACCTCTGGAATTTCATCTCAAATTTCTTCTGTGAAAACTGATAAGAAGTAGCTGTTCAATGCTTTGATTATTTCTGCACTGCCATTTATCACTTCTCCCCTCCCTGACTTTAAAGGCCCAACTTTGTCCTTGACCTTTGTCCTATATACCTGGAAAAATCCCTTGGGATTCGCCTTGAATTCTCTTGCTATTTTGATTTCATAGTCTCTCTTTCCTTTCCTTACATTTTTCTGAACATTCCTAGATAGTTCATTATACCTATTTCTGAGCTGCTCCTCCCCTCCCTTTAATTTCTTATATATTCCTTTCTTTATTCCTATGTCATGTTTAAGTTTTCTGGTCATCCACCTTGGCTCATTCTTATTTGACCTAATTTTTCTGTATGGTATATTTTGTTCTTGTGCTTTATGTAGTATACTAGTGAATATATTATAGTCATGATCAATTGTTGTGTCATCTATGACCTCACCCCTTCCTACTGATTCAACTTACTAAGCAGATACATAATCTTCGTACTGTAGGTGAGAAGTAATATTACTCTCACCTACCCGTCGAGCCTCGCCTCTGACCTGGAAGAGCATCAAACTTCTATCCAGTCCATTCGATACCACCTCGCATATCCCAGATCCCTTCTTGTGCACTGAGTTGACTGCAGTTCAATTAGATATAAATGTTTTTGAAACAGGCATGCTTGAATAAATGTAGTATCCAACATGTTATCTATTACAATGTGTAAATCTGTATCTTGCTGTGATTTTTGTTCAAAATTTCCGACATTTCTGAAGAATCTTTTATGAAGAGATGCTGTTGCTTAGTGTGTACACCGCATACAACCCTATGCCAAAATATGATAAATTGCAAATATATTTTAAGTTAAAGAAATAAAATCAATATGAACCACATTCCGTTATGGAAATTAAATATTACCCAGCAAAAAAATTCATCATACATTGTCTCTCCAGAGTTCTTGTACCTTCAGGATCCTACATGTTGAACTATATGGTTGAGTTCCCAGCATGAACATCACAATGTCTGAAGGGACAGCCAGGTAGAAGGAAAAAAAAACAGGATGTACATTCTCTCTCTCTCTCTCTCTCTCTCTCTCTCTCTCTCTCTCTCTCTCTCTCTCTCTCTCTCTCTCTCTCTCTCTCTCTCTGTATATATGTTTGTCAACATAGTAGCTTGACATTGATAAGTGTGTTAAAGAGTTTTTGAAATAGCTTATTGTTTCGTTATCTTTTTATTATTATTGCAGAACTCATGAGTAAACAAACGTTTACAAATCTGCTCAAGAGATAGAAAATGAGAGAAGAAATCAAGTTTGTTGGGGTTAATGGGGAACTTAAGGCCCCTTGAATAACCAGAGACACAGAAATATCACTTGTGCACTGTTGCAGCAGTTAAGGTATAGTAGTCAATCAATCAATCAATCAATCAATCAATCAATCAATCAATTATAAACACTCTTTATTCATACTGTCATGAATTCTTAGACGAGACGACTCGGGATTACGGAGCATTCCAGTGAATCAAGTATTTGTGATTTGTTGGAGCTCATTATTATATATCCACGTGTTTTGTATATTGGAAGCTTAATGTGTTGTCTAATAGTAGACCCTGCTGCCATATGGCATCACGAAAATTGTGACCAAGTCTCAGTTTGCTGATCTGACTTTCTGCCTCATTTACATAATTGCAGGGTTTCAATTGTTTCTCATACTTTGACAACACAACATACATATATTATTTCTCACTTTTTATTCTTTTTATTTCTTTATGGTTCTTTATTATTATTATTAAAGTGTTGTTATTGATATTATTATCATTATTATTATATTATTTTATTTTAAATTTCTGGTCCACAAATAGGGTTACCACCCTATTTGGAACAAGCTGTGGAACGAGTGGAACAAGCTTAGCATCTTCATAGAAAGTGCTGGAAGTTTTAAAAGGAGGCTAGATAGATTCATGGATGATAAAGAGTGGTTGTAACTCTAGACACGAGCTGCCATGCACAGGCCAACCGGCCTATTGCAGACTCCTTATTTTCTTATGTTCTTCTTATGTGGTTGGAGTAGCGTTTTACCGAATCCTGCGAGGAAACACGAGGCTACAAATATGTCTCATCAGTCCATTCCCAGCTTTGTTCATTCTTACGAGAGATAAGAAGCATTGTATTTACTGGGAAATACCTCTTTATTATTACCTTGTAATTCAATTGTCATTATAGAATCTAGTCTCATTAGACATATCGAATATGTCTACATGAATTTGAGTAATGCCATGTACTAATTGGAAAATTCTGTGATTAACAAGATTTGTAACTAGGTGAAAGGGTTGAGTTATTACCTTATGACCTGAGTATGGTGGACACCTGCTGTCCCTGCGGACTTGATCCCACTCTCCTTTACTGTATATATTAGCCTTGTCAGTAACTACTCCTAAGTCTGTACTCACCCCTGAAGATGTTACTTACACGATAGCTCTTCTACTGTCAGCTGGATAAAAGAAAACTAACACTCTAAGGCTTCAGTTTTATCTTAAAGTCCTGTATTAGGATGATGTATTTCGGGAATCAGATTGAGACTCTGTTAAGTGAGGTTCCATCATCAGTCAGGTAGTGAAGTGAGAACAAAGGTTATTTATGTGAAGTATATTAAGAGTGTGTAGTGAGAGCTTGAAAAGGTGATTTTAAGGTTATATTTCTGCTATAAATTTTTAATTTTGATAATCTCAAGCATCGTATTACGTTCATGGGTTCAATTTTGAGTGAAACTCTGTGTGATATTGCTGCTACAAAGCTTCTCTTTATTTTAGTGTCGCAGACGAGTGTCGAGAAGAATCTCCAGACACAACGTCAATGAGCTGATTACATACCCGCCCAGGAGAACCACGAACATTCCCTGAAAGAAAGAAACTTACTATATGACATTTGGAAGATATAAGAAGAAATTATGCACACACACACACACACACACACACACACACACACACACACATTGGAATAAAAGATAAGTTTGTAACTAACATTACTGTACTAATTGCTAATGAGGATTTACTAATTTATTAATAAATAGTTGTCCAATTTAAACTTATTATATAAGCCTGCATTAAATAAATCAATTGGGGCCTCAATATTATCGGGCACTCTTTATTAATGTGTGTGTGTGTGTGTGTGTGTGTGTGTGTGTGTGTGTGTGTGTGTGTGTGTGTGTGTGTGTGTGTGTGTGTGTGTGTGTGGTGTTAAAGGTTCAAACTATGGTTTTATAACAGTAAGCCCCAAAAACTCACCTATCAAAAATCGACACAAAGTATAACTGAGAATAACTTGGGTGAAGAACATTACGTTCAGTAAGCATCTTCATGCTTGTAAATACTTATTTCCTGTAGCTGATATATAATTAAACACAAGGAATAATACCACAAATTAACTCATGAAATAATTCCTACGTATGACCCATCAAGCAAATATAAATGAAAATCGTGAAACATAAGGATATGAACAACACATTCAATAATTCTTGATATTTAAAAAATAAATTTCAAAACGATAGCAATAAAAATGAGTTGGCATTTATATATCTAAAAAACAATTGTGTTAAGTTCAATGAAGCCAATACTTGAAGGTGCAACAATAGAGTACCTTACCCACAAGTTGGACACGGAGAGTGAAGTGCTGACAGATACTTTTGATGGACGTTTAAGACATTTGGTATTGTTTTAAAGGAATTTGCATACCAATAGTTGTACAATCCTGCTTCTGTCATTGCCATGACTCTGTGGGATAAATCTTACAAAATAATATTTAATTCAACAAGCACAGCCAGGGATCAGGCAGATATTATTGCCAATCTATGCACCCAAGATTCCCCCCTTAGCAAAACCTAAATATATCTGCGACGAGACCATTAAAACTAAATAAAGTTACATGCAAGGGAAAAAAACTTTGGACCAATGATTTGTCAGGAACCCTCCCAGATGAACCTATAATAACGAAAACGAAGTCTTTCAGATGTTTCATGTATACAGTACCACTGTACATCTTAAGCTATTATATATATATATATATATATATATATACACATGCTGATAACCACAAGGAAGAAAAACACGTTCCGAAGCGCTTTCCTGTAAATTACACGAAAGCGCTTGGGAACTTCGTGTTTTCTTCTTTCCTTGTGGACAGCATATACCTAGATCACGCACCTACAGTGATTTACTTGTATATATATATATATATATATATATATATATATATATATATATATATATATATATATATATATATATATATATATATATATATATATATATATATATTTCATGTAAATCCAAAATGAAAACGTGGATAAGATAAATCTTGATAAAATCACAATTAAGAATATTTTGACTCTGCCCTATCGTGATGAATTTGTCCCGTTAGTTCGGTCCTCAAGCTTCTAAATATTAATGTTGTTTTCAAGTATGACTCAACCATTACCAATATGTTAATAAGGAATAGCCCAAGTTTGAATGTAAATGGAAGTGTTTATTGTATTCCATGTAGCAAATGTAATTGTAATTATGTAGGTCAGACAGGAAAACACTGCAGCTCAGAATCAAACAACATAAGTATAATATCAGAACTGCATCTGAAAGCAGTGCCTTGTTCGTTCATGTTAGAAATAATAATCACCCCATTGCTTGGGAAAAGCTTAGAAGTATTCAAATCATCTTGTGTCACAGAAAGACTTCTGGTTGAAGCTAGTTTGATTAAGGAATTAAAATCAATAAACCTAGTGATGGTCAGTTCAAAACTGATAATATGTTACATAAATTTATTTGTCAGTGGCCCAAGGTTAAAATGCTTTGAAAACCTTTGATCTTGATGTATGATAGTTATTTTGTGGGTCCTTTTTCTGACCTGACCTGTCTAGTCACGTCATCACCCGTCTCTTAAGCTCCTCTACGTGTGTGTTGGTGTGATTAGTGGATGTCATCATTATGACCTGACCTCATGTTTTTAGGTCACCCTTTATATTTAAGCTCTCTCTGTCCATGTAATCCAGTTGCCTCTGAAGATGTCTTGAATAAAAACGAAAGCTAAGGTACTCCGTTGTTTCCATTTTCCCGTGTGATTTTATCAAGATATATATATATATATATATATATATATATATATATATATATATAAATATATATATATATATATATATATATATATATATATATATATATATATATATATATATATATATATGCAAGTAAATCACTGTAGGTGCGCGTGATCTGGTATATGCTGATAAACACAAGGAAAGAAGGAACTGTTTTCTTTCCTTGGTTATATATATATATATATATATATATATATATATATATATATATATATATATATATATATATATATATATATATATATATATATATATATAAAATTTTATTTAGAGGGTGCAGAAGAGGACTGTCCTTAGGAACTAACATGCCGCTCATCCGAGGCATGAATCTATCTTTCAGTTTGTAGAGGTCACACCGTCCTGTAGAGTTGTGTATTAGCACGAATATGAAATGCGTCACAGTCGTCATATCAGTTTCATTATCTTGAAGTGTCACTATATCTATATATATATATATATATATATATATATATATATATATATATATATATATATATATATATATATATATATATATATATATATATATATATATATATATATATATAAAGCATGTATTACATTTACTTAGATTAGCTTACCAACATTATATGATTTATATAGATATCAACATACATTTATCTTTAACGGAATGGTAAGGAAAATCATAAACCTGTTTTAGAATAGTGCTGTGTGAGCAGCATGCCAGTGATTACACCATATACCATTATGACGTGGTCGCCGCAGCCACCAGTGTGTCAGCACTGCTGAAGAATTCATTTGGCTTCTTGCGCTTGACTCGGCCTTTTATCTCCAGGTCTGCCACCTCTCTTATAGTTCCAGAATTTGTCACCTAGACCCATCAATATATTATTGATATATATATATATATATATATATATATATATATATATATATATATATATATATATATATATATATATATATATATATATATATATATATATATATATATATATATATATATATATATATATATATATATATATATATATATATATATATATAAATATAAAAAGAAGTATGTCTGTTTGTATGTTTGTGTGTGGTGTTTTGTTTGTGTCCGACGAGAATCACGGAAACTACTCTTTACCGATCTGTAGTGATGATGGATGGTGTTATATGTAGTGATGATGATGGATGGTGTTATATGGCGTGATGATGGATGGTGTTATATGTAGTGATGATGAATGGTGTTATATGTAGTGATGATGATGGATGGTGTTATATGTAGTGATGATGGATGGTGTTATATGTAGTGATGATGGATGGTGTTATATGTAGTGATGATGGATGGTGTTATATGTAGTGATGATGATGGATGGTGTTATATGTAGTGATGATGGATGGTGTTATATGTAGTGATGATGGATGGTGTTATATGTAGTGATGATGGATGGTGTTATATGTAGTGATGATGATGGATGATGTTATATGTAGTGATGATGGATGGTGTTATATGTAGTGATGATGGATGGTGTTATATGTAGTGATGATGGATGGTGTTATATGTAGTGAAGATGAGTGGTGTTATATGTAGTGATGATGATGGATGGTGTTATATGTAGTGATGATGGATGGTGTTATATGTAGTGATGATGGATGGTGTTATATAGTGATGATAGATGGTGTTATATGTAGTGATGATGGATGGTGTTATATGTAGTGATGATGGATGTTGTTATATGTAGTGATGATGGATGGTGTTATATGTAGTGATGATGGATGGTGTTATATGTAGTGATGATAGATGGTGTTATATGTAGTGATGATAGATGGTGTTATATGTAGTGATGATGGATGGTGTTATATGGAGTTTTGATGGGTTGTGTTATATGTCGTGATGATTAGACAATAAAATAATAACAGTTTAATGCTAAAAAAATATACTTTGCTGTACCATTGTAGTGAAAAACATGGTGGAACTTACATACACCGTTAATGATCTATTGATGGAAAAAGAAGTTTTGGGGACTGAACAGTGAGACAATGTGGAGCCTCCCGGAGGGTGGCGTCCTACCGTTGTGGAATCGCCGCCCCGAGGGCGGCGATTCTTATATATATATATATATATATATATATATATATATATATATATATATATATATATATATATATATATATATATATATATATATATATATATATATATATATATATACAGGGTTTAATTGCGAAATAGAGATAACTTCTTTTATTTTTAAACTTTTGACTTGTAACAGACAGTCGTGTATATAGTTTTAATACATAGTTATAAATTAATACATATCTTATTCTTAATTTTCGTACTTATGTATAATTTGGCTCTACTTTATATCTATTTCCTAACCTATGGTTCTTTTTCCCCTTCTCTCCTTTTGCATTAAAATCGCTCATTATAATTGAATTTCTAATTATTTCAACACCGTTTGCCTTTTTATCTTCGTAACAATGTTGTAGGATCTAATCTTCTGCATCATATATCGTTGCATTAACCGGAAATATTGCCATCTTTATAGTTGTAGCATTACTAACAAGAGTATCTTTTACACTGCCTTCATGTCCCCCTGCACAAGTACCTGCGCCTCCCTCATGTCGCTCTACACAAGTACCTGCACCTCCCTCATGTCCTCTACACACGTACCTGCACCTCCCTCATGTCCCCTACACAAGTAACTGCACCTCCTCATGTCGCTCTACACAAGTACCTGCACCCCTCATGTCCCTCTACACAAGTACCTGCACCTCCCTCATGTCCCCTACACAAGTAACTGCACCTCCCTCATGTCCCCCTGCACAAGTACCTGTACCTCCCCATGTCCCCCTGCACAAGTACCTGCACCTCCTCATGTTCCCCACACAAGTACCTGCACCTCCCTCATGTCCCCTACACAAGTACCTGCACCTCCCTCATGTTCCCCTACACAAGTACCTGCACCCTCCTCATGTTCCCCTACACAGTATCTGCACCTCCTCATGTCCCCCTGCACAAGGTACCTGCACCTCCCTCATGTTCCCCTACACAAGTACCTGCACCTCCTCATGTCCCCTACACAAGTACCTGCACCTCCTCATGTCCCCCTATACAAGTAACTGCACCTCCCTCATGTCGCTCTACACAAGTACCTGCACTCCCTCATGTCCCTCTACACAAGTACCTGCACCTCCTCATGTCCCCCACACAAGTACCTGCACCTCCATCATGTCGCTCTACACAAGTACCCACCTCCCTCATGTCCCTCACACAAGCACTCTGCACCTCCCTCATGTCCCTACGTTACCTGCACCTCCATCATGTCGCTCTACCTAAGTACCTGCACCTCCCCTCATGTCCCCCTGCACAAGTACCTGCACCTCCCTCATGTTCCCCACACAAGTACCTGCACCTCCCTCATGTCCCCCCACACAAGTACCTGCACCTCCATCATGCTCTACTCAAGTACCTGCACCTCCCTCTGTCCCCTGCACAAGTACCTGCACCTCCCTCATGTCCCCTGCACAAGTACCTGCACCTCCCTCATGTCCCACACAAGTACCTGCACCTCCATCATGTCGCTTCACTCAAGTACCTGCACCTCCTCATGTCCCCTGCACAAGTACCTGCACCTCCCTCATGTCCCCTGCACAAGTACCTGCACCTCCTCTATGTCCCCTGCACAAGTACCTGCACCTCCATCATGTCCCCTGCACAAGTACCTGCACCTCCCCATGTCCCCCATACAAGTACCTGCACCTCCATCATGTCGCTCTACTCAAGTACCTGCACTCCCTCATGTCCCCAAGTACCTGCACCTCCTCATGTCCCCTGCACAAGTACCTGCACCTCCCTCATGTCCCCCTGCACAAGTACCTGCACTCCATCATGTCCCCTGCACAAGTACCTGCACCTCCCTCATGTCCCCTACACAAGTACCTGCACCTCATGTCCCCACACAAGTACCTGCACCTCCCTCATGTCCCCCTACACAAGTACCTGCACCTCCCTCATGTCCCCCTATACAAGTACCTGCACCTCCATCATGTCGCTCTACACAAGTACCTGCACCTCCCTCATACAAAGTATCTGCACCTCCATCGTGTATTTCTTCACCTCAATATGTCAGCAGCATTCTTCATTATAGTTTTTGAATCAGCCTATCTTAATTCACTTAATCCTTAGATAACCAACTGCATCCCTTTCATGCACAAAATACTGACTTTTCACCATGTTTTAGTGTTCTCACATTTCTGGTCCTAAATTTAACTTCATGTACGGTTATTCTTAAGCTCTTAAGGTTGTTAATTAATACCAAAACCTTTCTTTTGCGTAGGCAATGCTTGTTACTCCCCGCTGACATACTGCCTACAGAGTACAAATAATAAAAGGATATGACAAGTTAGTATTGAAATAAAAGGGGTAGTGGTCGCTCACACTTCTCTGAGAAGGACCAGTCCAAATCACCTTATTTTAAAGGACGGAAACTAGTAAAACCCAGATTTGGGAAGAAAGTCGGACAATAGATATGTCCCTCTATAACTGTGGTTAATAGTAGCAAGAACTATGAGAAGAATGTGCAGTCTAGGGCACATGTGACTCTAGTAAAAGCCAACTGAGAGCGACGCCTAGATCAGCAGGTACTTCCAAATGTTCTTATAATCTTACACGAATACTCTGCTCTAGTGATGAATCTTGCATCCATATGACTTTGGCCGACGAGTCATCCACCACCTCTTGCAAGGTCTGGTAAGGCTCTGGGATATATCTCACCGCCAAGTGGGATATGAGATTACCATTGTAGCTTTGTCTTAACACTAGCGTCATCAACATCCACACCGCCATGAACAGCAACTCCCACCACCATTCCGACGCCATCGACACCATAGAAAAATCTGTAGGAAAGTATATATATTGGAAAAGATAATAAATACAATATTTTTTTATCGTATTTTTATTCAGTAACCCATCTTCCATCACGCAGTTAGGAGTGTTTATCATTACAGGAAGTGGCCATAATCACACAACAAATGAAGAGGAATTATAGTTAGGGTGAATTAAATTATTTATTGCTAGTTCTGGAAATATAAGACTTAAAGAAAATTAAGAAAGGGGCGGTATTCTCATTCCTCAAAGACAACCGTTGTAATGGGACTGGATGCTGAAATTACAGGTGTGGGGTCACCTGTTTGGGACGCAAAACACAGATGAGAAGTTCTAGAAGTTTATTTTACTGATGATTGTCTTTGTCGCTATTATTATCACTTAAATTTATTCTATTATCTTTGTATTACCATAACAAATATATTAATCAGATATTGTTTTGTTTATATTTGTTTTTAACATGAGAGTAAAGTGTTGATATATTCTAGACTCTAGAGAATTACTTAGCAATGCATTTTCTTTCTTAGGAGAAAGAACTTGTTGATTTTTATGATATATGGCATTTTACTTTGGATTCGGTTGTATAGATTTTTGTGCAATCTCAATTGATACGAAATATTAGTTTTGGTAAATGTATATATTTGAGGAAACCTTGACACTAAAAGCTTCTTCTAATTACACACTTCATGCTACTAAACCCTACACACGCACACACACACACACACTTGTCAACCGTCAGTGAGACAAGACATGCCCCGAAGGCGCTCCCGGTTTTAGCAGCCAGGCCGAGTCTGTTTGGCCTCGCCCACTTCCTGCTATACCCCAACGCCCTACCAGCCTTACTACACCGGGATCTATTCAGCAAAAACATTCTAGTGATTAGTGAACGATTGATTATGTGGAGCAAAATTTATAGGTAATTTAAGGAACTTTCAGCAAAGTATTCAAGTCATCAGTGCAATAAGTGATTATCATACAGTGCTCGATAGTGCACACCAAGGAAAAATAGGACAGTGGGCACTTTATCGGTCACCTTTAAAGTGCCAGTGACAAGGACCACCGCGGTGTTTACATATATCGTGATAACTGTGTCGGCGAGCCCAAGCAACCAGGACAAAGACCCACGGGTTCTACGACTGACAACATTAACAGATGTCTACTTGTGTCAGTGGCCCCTCAGTGCCGTCAGTGACAAACAATTCCGTCCGCCCACAACAGATATCAAATTGGTGATGGCCACTCAACTACTCTACCCCACGCACTCTGTACCCATCTAAAGCTGGGAACGGTTATCCTGATGGCAGTGTTATCAAAGGCGACTCGTCACTGAATATAGTCCACGCGCCGAGCCGCAGACAAGGTCAGCCACAATACCAGAACTGACATCTCCACATTTGAAGTTCCACGGATATGGCGGATCTCCTGTCTTTACCGCCAAGTTATCCAACGTCACTTCCTAGCTAACAACAAGTTCGGACGAGCTGGCAACTACAGTCAGGTCAGCTGCCGCCAGCGTCGTTGCCATATGTGAGGCTTGGCAAATTGTGCCTGAAACGTGTCATATTGAGGATATCAACTCTTTCATCACCTTCGTTCACATAGACGCGGAGGGGGCGTTGCCTCTTCGTCAAGATGACCTACGCTCCGTCACGCCTGGATGTTCAAGTCCCAGCAGATGTGGAAGCATTATGGGTACGGTCGCGGCTACGGGCCAACCCGGGCCACAACACCGTTTCCATCATAACTGGGGGCGGCTACCATCCCGCCTCGCTCACCTACCAGAGACACTCTTATCAATTATCTTATCACCACCTCAGACCACCTCAGAGTTAGGCCCATAAAAGCAAGTTAGTATTATGTGGGATTTTAATGAAATTGACACCACTGATATCAAGGACCAGCTATCACTTCATCGCCAAGTTGTGACCTTTCCCCTACACACGGTCAAAATACCCTTGACCTTAGTCTTAACTGACTTAGCGGACCAGTACCAACCACCTCAACCAATGCCTTCCTATCGGGTGTAGCACACACTTTATCAGTGCTCTGGGTCCCCAGCTGCCACTCCCACTCAAGCACAGAGACCCTACATCAAGACCTACAGGCTTATTTACTGACTCTGCAGTGCGCCTCTTCGGGCAGTGGATAGTTCGCCACTATCCCTGGACTGAAGTACTTAGCGTGGATGACGTAAAAACCAAATGGATAAATTATACCAACACCACCACGGAGCTCACCACCACTCTTCCCCGAGAAGTCCGTCAGATCTCACCCAGCTGACTTGGGTTCTGATCACACCTCGGATCAAAAGACTTATGCAACAGAGAGACAGAGCTTTCATCTCAATGACCACATCCAAGCAGGTCCCTTCTAAATCCGAGTCATCCGCGAAATACGCACTCGCAAAGAAGTCCCACTACCCAACCAAATCCATAACACCTGAAGCAGACCAACATCAGTCAATGGTATGGTGTTTAAAGAACTCTGTGGACTAAAGTTCAACAAGACACACCCTCCCTTCCTAGCCATCTCACTAATGTTGACGCAGCTGAGCAAACAAATAACCATTTCTGCTACGATATGTGCTAGACGCTCCCTTCGGCTTGACACATACAATCCACTTCCCTGCTTACCTACCAGCCCCCCTTCCCACTGACTTAGTAGAAGAATTTGAAGTAGCAAAACGCCTGGACGTAAACTAAAATTAAAACGCTTTTACCACCTCTAGTATTGACTTTACCAATGAAACTCTTCAAGGAGTTCTCCCGAGCTGCTAAACCCTATGCTCCATCATCAATGCTTCTCTCAATCAAGCCAGATGCCCAGCTGGACTGGAAGACTCTTTTTATGTACCACCAGTGCCCAAGTCAACCAGCCCATAATCCTTAAATCAGCTTAATCTATTGCAATCATCCCAATACCCAGCCTAATCTGTGAAAGTTTTGTGTTCGACTGGGCTTATGCTGATATTGCAGGAGTCGTAGACCCTCGTGCTACCGGCAATACGAAAACTTCCTCCACCACTCAATTTCCTCCGTCTGTCAGCTTTCTCGGATTACATATACCGCCATCTCGAGAAACGAAAAACGTCTGTAGCTGCCGCCTTCATTGATTTCATACTCAAAGCGTTCGACCTAGTCGACCACAATAATATAATCATCAACAGCTATTGACCTCGGGCTTCGGAGAGGTAGTCTTTATACCATGGCTACAGATCTCCTCAGTGACCGACGCCAAGCTGTACGCTTCCCGAGGGCTGTCTCCACCTTCAGTGACTCACCACCTGTGGCGTCTCAAGGCACCAAGATGGGAATACTCTTGCTTCCTTATGCTCATCAATGATGCCTCAAGAGAAACTCCCTGCTCGCTGGAAATATGTCGACGACTCCACCATTGGGATCAGCGTCAACAATTTGCCCCCAACTATACTGCCCTTCAGGATTTATTGAACAGTTCCAAACTAGCCACCAACAACCATGTCACCATCAAATCCATACCAAGACCATGGTTATGCATACATCAACCCTCTCCTCCGACATTGTCCCACCTCCTTCCATTACTCTAGGTCCGGAACACACCCAGGTTGTAGATTCCACGAAGCTCCTCGGCGTCACCATAGACAACAAACTAAATTGGAAACCACACGTCGCGAAGTTATCAAATCTCCAGTTTCCGTCTCCACCTCCGCTGACTCAAGTCCTTGAGTTCCTGCACACGAGCTCCTCACAGTGCGTTTACACAACATTCATACTTCCTAAGCTCACGTATGCCTCCCCACCTGGTCTTCCTCCCCTAAATGCCACACAACGTAAACACCTAGAAAAAGTGCAAAAGAGGGCATGTAAGATTATTCTCTCCCTTCCTACCTAGCGCCATATCAAGAAGCGCTCAACATACTGGACCTCTTTCTTGACTCTCACTGACCATCACCACGACCTCATCTGCAATTTGTAAGAAGCTTCTTACACCATCCTCGACACCGGCTCGTACTACCACCTGAGATCCCTAGTCCGAGAATTGCTGTTCGACACCACAACCGCATCCAGCCCATACGTGCACGAACTGATCGCTATAAGAACAGCCCAGTCCCAACCATTGTAAAATTTTATCATTAATCTTAGTAAATAAATCGTAGTGTATCTACCCCAGTAAACACTACTCCTGCACTGTCACTATGTTGAATGAACTTCGTAGTTTGAGCTTTTCCCATCTAGTTATTATATGTCTTATTTGTATCAATTTATGTTACTTGTATATTATTTTGTAATTCGTAACCTATTCCCCAAATGTGTAACTGTATATTTCAGCCTTATGGTTGCTAAGCTCTTCAATAAACTGTTAATTTATTATTATATATTATTTACACACACACACACACACACACACACACACACACAACACACTATATATATATATATATATATATATATATATATATATATATATATATATATATATATATATATATATATAGAGAGAGAGAGAGAGAGAGAGAGAGAGAGAGAGAGAGGAGAGAGAGAGAGAGAGAGAGAGGAGAGAGGAGGAGAGGAGAGAGAGAGAGAGAGAGAGAGAGATATGGTTACATGGACTGTGAATAAGAAATTTAAGTCTATAATCAGAACCAATACCTTTTCCGGAGTCTGACTGATACAGTGGAAATGGATTTACAATAACGTATAACATCACACCCCACGACCTTGGCTTGACACCTTTATTCACTTAAACAGTTTTGCAACATAAAGAATTTAGTTTTTACAATGTAAAGTGTACCGCTGAACCGCTGAACAAATATGATGGTTATAAAGCCGTGCCTTACAAAAATAGAAATTAAATTACAATATAATAAAGGAAATAAACAAACAATGAGTGATAAAATTATATATTTAATGATAAATATTCACTAATGAGAGATTCTTATACTTTTGGTGTTGTGTTTAAAATGTCGTTGAAGGTTATTGTCCCAAGAGGGAAGAAATGATAACAGAGGTTAGGATAGCCAAAGAATGTTGAAAATAGTAAAGCTTATCA